GCTAATGTCATTTATTAAAGAACGTCTAAATACCATTCAGATTATGGTATTGAGGCAACAATATCAGATGGTAGCCCAGGATGAAGAGAAAGATTCCTCTACAGGAACAAGAAGACAGGGGGGAATGTGAGGCTGCCAGGGTTAATACCATGACAGGCGGCCTGGACCTAAGTTTTGGCTTCCCCCGAAATGATAAGATTCCCTACCCCCATCAGGTAACCTGGAGCCAGCCAATATGTGCCCAGTAAGAAACAAAGGGAGAGCTGAAAAGCCCGCGAACGCCCAGATTTGAAAAAAGCCCGTGAGAGTTTGTACCAATAAAATTGCTTTGCAAACATGTAACCAATCCGCTTAAGCCAGCTACTAACCGCTTATGCATACCTTATAAATTTGGATAACAGCCTCTGCTCAAGGCTTTTCTGACCTTGCGCCACTGTGTTGGTTGCAGCAGAAAGCCCTGACTTGAGTCAGTAATAAACTTCCCTTTTTGTAAATTGCATTGTCTTGGAAGCTCTCTCTCCCCGCTCAGGGATTCAGACATCGGGCAGAACACTGTATACTGTAAAGTCCTAAAAACCTTAGGTTTAAAATGAGGTAGATATTGTTATTTCTTCCTTTTACAGCTAAAGAAAGTTTAAGTGGTTTGAAGGAAAATTTAAATGGTTTGTCAGGGGCTATGAAGGCAGTAAATAAGTCAATATCAGACTACAAACAACCTAGGCCAGTTGAATCTTTTTTTTTTTTTCATATTTACTTTTATTTATGTATTGACTTGGCTGTGCTGAGTCAGTTGTAATACATGGGATCTTCTGTCTATGTTGTGGCGTGAGGGATCTTGTTCCCTGACCAGGACTGAACCCAGGTCCCTGCATTGGGAGCACAGAGTGTTAGCCACTGGATAGCTGAGAATGTCCCAGGACCAGTTGAATCTTAAGTCTGTGACTGTGAAAAACATAGATAAGAAATTTTAAGTCGATTTTAGCCTCCCACATTTTGTAATGGGGAAAAGAGGAGGTGGGGAGGGCTGGTTTTTAATATTGAGATGAACTAGGAGAGGCTGGGAAGGAGAATTAGCCTTGGGTTCTGTTATAGAGTCTTAAAAATTTAGGACTAAGAGTCATCAGCCCATCAATTTGATAATAATAATGATAATTTACTTAACATTTATTGGATGTTTCCCATGTGTCAGGCACTATTCAATGCACTTTACATGAACTCACTGCTTTTATCCTTGCAGCTCTATGAAGTATATACTGTTGTATAGTGGAGGAAACTGAAGCACAGAAAGGCTAGGACATTTGCTAAAGGGCACACAGTTGTGTGGTGGGCCTAGGTTTGAAATTCAAACTTGGATCTCCTAACCACTATGCCATAATGTATAGGACTTAAAGTTTGATGTGGAAATACACTTAAAGTCCTGACACTTTTCTGTTAGATGACTTTGAGCAAATTAATTTCTCCAGACTTCAGTGTCCTTATATGTAAAGTGGTAGTGATAATAAGCATAGTCACAAGGTTGTTGTAGGATAAATTAGATGATACTTGTGGGGCGTATAACATAGTCCTTATTGAATAGCAAGTGCTCAACAAATGTCATCTATTCCCCATTGCCTCATCTTCTTCCTTATCATCCCTCACCAAACAAATCAAGTACTGTGGGTACTTTTAATGATGATGATTTATTAAAAGAAACAATTATTTTCTCTCCCCAACCGCATCCTTTGCCCACTCCATCCATAGGTCCCTGTCTTCATCTGTCTTCCTGGGCAAGGACCTTCGAATAGTCACATCTTTGAAAACAGGAACTCTAGGAAGGAATGAACAATTCCTAGAGAAAGGGGGCCCTTAGGGTAAGTCTTCATCCTGTGAAATGTACAAGACAATTATGCATGAGACCTGCTGTTTGGGGACCCGGATCCACAGAATACAATTGAGAGATAAGATTTTCCAGTGACGGGACTCAGTAAGAACCTGCCAGGAGCCAACAAGGCCATAAATGCCCTAGGGGTTGTGGGTGGATAAGACAAATAATACATTCTGAACACAGGCACATTATCTTAAAAGTCTGTGTTGATTCTGTTGTGTTTAACACAATTTGTAATCAAAACTGAATCCTGGTAGCTTTTTCATTTTGCATTGTTTTCAATCGATAGCTACTGACAGTAAAGGATTTATCATGTGAAGCCTCTGAAATATTTTTATAGGAAAGGGGCTCTTATCATTTACTATGGCAATGTCATCCAAGGCTTAAAATTAGCATACTCCTTGGTCATCAATTATAAACCTTAGAATTTATTCCAAATAAATTAGTGTGTACAGCAGTCAGTATTCACTATAGCCATATTAATGATATTAAAAATAAGAAATATGTTAAATGTGTCTTATGGAGCTTGCTAAGTATATGAGCATACATGGTGGACACACATACAGAGCATACATGAAGGGCATTAAAGATGATGGGATAGAAGCATCAATGTTGATATTAAAAGTTGTTTACTAGCTATTTCTTCTTCTTCTTTAACCACTATGCCATAATGTATAGGACTTAAAGTTTGATGTGGAAATACACTTAAAGTCCTGACACTTTTCTGTTAGATGACTTTGAGCAAATTAATTTCTCCAGACTTCAGTGTCCTTATATGTAAAGTGGTAGTGATAATAAGCATAGTCACAAGGTTGTTGTAGGATAAATTAGATGATACTTGTGGGGCGTATAACATAGTCCTTATTGAATAGCAAGTGCTCAACAAATGTCATCTATTCCCCATTGCCTCATCTTCTTCCTTATCATCCCTCACCAAACAAATCAAGTACTGTGGGTACTTTTAATGATGATGATTTATTAAAAGAAACAATTATTTTCTCTCCCCAACCGCATCCTTTGCCCACTCCATCCATAGGTCCCTGTCTTCATCTGTCTTCCTGGGCAAGGACCTTCGAATAGTCACATCTTTGAAAACAGGAACTCTAGGAAGGAATGAACAATTCCTAGAGAAAGGGGGCCCTTAGGGTAAGTCTTCATCCTGTGAAATGTACAAAACAATTATGCATGAGACCTGCTGTTTGGGAACCCGGATCCACAGAATACAATTGAGAGATAAGATTTTCCAGTGACGGGACTCAGTAAGAACCTGCCAGGAGCCAACAAGGCCATAAATGCCCTAGGGGTTGTGGGTGGATAAGACAAATAATACATTCTGAACACAGGCACATTATCTTAAAAGTCTGTGTTGATTCTGTTGTGTTTAACACAATTTGTAATCAAAACTGAATCCTGGTAGCTTTTTCATTTTGCATTGTTTTCAATCGATAGCTACTGACAGTAAAGGATTTATCATGTGAAGCCTCTGAAATATTTTTATAGGAAAGGGGCTCTTATCATTTACTATGGCAATGTCATCCAAGGCTTAAAATTAGCATACTCCTTGGTCATCAATTATAAACCTTAGAATTTATTCCAAATAAATTAGTGTGTACACCAGTCAGTATTCACTATAGCCATATTAATGATATTAAAAATAAGAAATATGTTAAATGTGTCTTATGGAGCTTGCTAAGTATATGAGCATACATGGTGGACACACATACAGAGCATACATGAAGGGCATTAAAGATGATGGGATAGAAGCATCAATGTTGATATTAAAAGTTGTTTACTAGCTATTTCTTCTTCTTCTTTTTTTTAAATGGCTGTAGTGTACCACATATGGAATCTTAATTACTCAGCTAGGGATCAAACCTGTGTCCTCTGCATTGGAACCATGGAATCTTAACCACTGGACTGCCAGGGAATTCTCTCACTAGCTATCTTTAAGTGAAATAATCAAGAAATCAAAATAGGTACATGATTATCTTGTTTTCACATAGATATTATACATGTGTGTTGCGTGTTTAAAATACAAACCGAAGTGTTAAGCAAACATCATTTGGGGGTGGGTGATTTTTATCTTTTTTTTTTTTTTCTCTCAAATGAATAGTCTTGATTTTTCTCTAGGATATACCAGGTAATGAAATTATTTTAAAGATTTGGAAACCACCATCCTGGGATAGGTGCTTCTTTTTCTTGGGAAGGATGGGTGAAGAGGGAGAGGTCATAAGAGATAGGCTTCTGTCTCATCCACTTCTGGGAAGTTCCATTAGGGCCACGTGTACTGTCTGCCTGGCTTCAACATGGAATGAGGAAGCAGGGAAGGACCTGATGTTTTTACCTGAAGCACAGACGTGGCCACAGCCATTGCTGACACAGCGCTCTTCTGGACCACAGTCCCAGTCACCACTACAGAGCTCAACACAGGTGCCTGCATTAGAACAGACCAGCTGAAAACTGCCATTCTCTAGACACAGGTGTTAGGGAGGCCAGCCCGCGATTAAGGAGCCAGTTCCATCTTCTTCGAGTTCAATACATAATATAATTTATAAATGATTAATCACAGAATAATACTCACTAACATCTTATATATTTCAGTGAAGAGCAATATGCATTCACACAATCTCAACAAAGCAAGGTCTACTTTAAAGAACAGAATAATTAGTTACTCCTGGCACATACTCAGAGAAAAAGTGAAAAAAAGTGAAGTTTCTCAGTCATGTCTGACTCTTTGCGACCTCATGGCCTGTAGCCTACCAGGCTCCTCTGTCCATGGGATTTTCCAGGCCAGGGCACTGGAGTGGGTTGCCATTTCCTTCTCCAACCCAGAGAAAACCATGATTCAAAAAGATACATGCACCCCAATGTTCATTGCCACACTGTTTACAATAGCCAGGACATGGAAACAGCCTAAATGTCCATCAACAGAGGAATGGATAAAGAAGATATGGCACATATATACAATGGAGTATTACTCAGCAATAAAAAAAAGAATAAAATAATGCCATTTGCAGCAACATGGATGGACTGAGAGATTACATGGATGGACTTACTTCATACTGAGTGAAGTAAGTCAGACACAGAAAGACAAATATCGAATGAAATCACTTAGATGCGGAATCTAAAAAAACAAGGGTACCAATGAACTCATTTACAAAACAGAATGGATATAGAAAACAAACTTATGGTTACCAGAGAATAAGGGGGGAAGGGATAGATTGGGAGATTGGGATTCGCATATACACACTGTTATGTACAAAATGGATAGCAAGAACCTGCTGTGTAGCACGGGGAACTCTAGTCAATACTCTGTAATGGCCTATATGGGAAAAGAATCTAAAAAAAAGGAGTGTCTATATGTACATGCATAACTAAGTCACTTTGTTGTGCACTTGAAATTAACACAACATTGTAAATCAACTACATTCAAATTTCTTTTTGAAAAGGAGGGTAATTGCATCTGTGGAGGGGAAGTGCAGAGAAGCCCACTTCAATGCCCCTCACTTCTCTCTGCAAGGAAAGGGGCAGAGAAGGGAAGATTACACTTAGCCAAATGTCATCAAGGGTGCCCTGAAGTTGCTCTGCGCAATGAGTCTGACTGGCCCCTTTTTACAGGCATGGCAGCTGGGTGCACTAAGGTGACTTTCCTACTAGTCAGTACAGAAGTCGGATCCAACCCAGACTCTCTGGCCCCTAGGCCAAGCTCCCTCTGCCATCCCAGAGGGTGAAACTGACCTTGGCATGAAGAGTCCATCTCCAGATTTCAAGGAGTCACTTCTGACCCAAGTGGAGGCTCCCCACACTCCCAGAGCCTCAAGGTTAGTCTTTGAGGACCAATGAAATAGGTCCAGGGAGCTGGTTAAGACCCTGCAAGGGTTTCTAACAAAATGTGTGCAGAGCTGTGGATGAATGTGTGCTGTGCTTGGGTGGGTGGCTCAGCTGTGGTCAGGAGATTTTCTACCCGATTCTGTCTCTGGACATCTCTGGGCCTTTGTTTTTTCAAAGGTAAAATGAAATCCTTGGATCCAGGAGGGCTGGATGAAGCTCCCCCTCCAGTGTCAGCTCCAGTCAATGGGGGTGACTGTTCTGATGCTGTGTGGAGAAGGCTGAGCCGCTTTGTCCAGACTCAAAGAGAAAGAGTGCTATAATTGATTAGCAATGTCTGATGATGTAAGATGGGAGCCTGGTGGGATGTCTACAATGTACATGCAGACCTCAGAGAAAATCAATACAGTCCCTCCATGCTTTTATTAGCTGTTGTTGATTTATGGTGAGAGAATGGGAGAATTCTTGTCTCTACTCAGCAGTTTGGCCACTCATTAATAACTGTTGATTTCTTACTATGTACAAAGCACAGAGGTTAAGTTATACAGAAAGTATGAATAAGTGGATTGGATTAGTCTGTTTAGTCGCTAAGTCATGTCTGACTCTTTGCAACCTCTCGGATTGTAGCCTGCTAGGCTCCTCTGTCCATGGGGATTTCCCAGGCAGGAGTACTGGAGTGGGTTGCCATTTCCTTTTCCAGGGGATCTTCCCAACCCAGGGATCGAATACTAGTCTCCTGCATTGGCAGGCAGATTCTTTACCACTTGAGCCACCTGCGAAGCCCATGGAGATGTAAGATTAGGTTATTACTTTCTAGCAGCTTAGAGTCTCACAGTGGAGACAAAGTTTATGTTTAAAGTATTAAAAGCAAAGCAGTATGTGACCCATGTCTTGAGAGAGGCTTATCCAAAGGACTAAAGGGGCTCACAAAAGAGAGGACATCACTTCCAGTGAATCAGGAAAGGTGAGTCTTGAAGTATGGGAATCTTTTAAAGGCAGAATTGAGAGGGAGGGTGGAGAAGAGAAAAGAATTACTAGCAAAAGTTCATAAGCAGAAAATGCAACAGGGTGGGACTGGGGAAAGGTGCATGAGGCACCCGGGACACAACATTTAAGGAGGCCCTTGAACAACCCTGAGAGTGAGCGCCTCCTTCAATTGTGCACCCTAGGTGCCTCATCTCCTCACTCTTCACCCTGAAATACAAGGGATACAGGAAGAGTATCAAATGGAAGGCTGGATAAGTACTAGGGAATAGTTGGAAGTCAAGGCACATGTAGGCAGCACTTTCCTTCCCCATCACTCAGTCATGTCTGACTCTTTGCAACCCCATGGACTGTAGCCCACTAGGCTCCTCTGTCCATGGGATTCTCCAGGCAAGAATACTGGAGTGGGTTGTTATTTCCTTCTCCAGGGGATCTTCCCGACCCAGGGATCAAACCCAGGTCTCCTGCATTGTAGGCAGATTCTTTACTGTCTAAGCTTCCAGGGAAGCCCACAAATAGTGTAAATAGGAATCTTGCAAAGAAAGAAGGAAGAGAACATCCTTGTCATCAGAATAACTTCTCAGCACATTTAACGTTATTAAAGCATGTTGAACATTATGGACTAATTTGTACTCTGCTTCCAGACTATGTTTATAGAGCTACCCATCTTTCTTTAACAAAGCTTTTATACTTATGTTAGGTATGTTAAAATCTATTTAATTTTCTATGCTTCAGATGAAATAGTAATGCGTGCTAAAAATATGTATAATGAGAGAGTTGATGAGATACAAAAGGCTTACTAAAGACATTTAAACTCATAGTTGTCAATAAATCTCTGAATGTCTTGTAAATTCTCTCTTAGCTTAAGAAAGGTTAATAAACTCAGACTTTAAAATATTGGAAGGACAACCTAAGTAATTATTTTATGAGACTTACTTCAACCCCAGGTAATGGTATAGAAAATATAATAAGGTAATTGATCTTTTGGAAGAAGGAACTGATAAATTGNTAAGAAAAAAAAGGTGAAGAAGGAGAAGATCTGGGAGAGTGGTAGGGGCAGCAATAGAGACTATAGTCAGCCTTCGGGGGATTAAGGGATGAGTCATGGGGAAGAAAATGCAGAGAATGAAGATTACTCCTTTGAGAATGTTGGCAGTAAAAGGAAAAGATGATTCGTGTTTCACATATTTAAGAAAATATTTTCTGTAAGCAATCCAACTTATTTGTAGCAAGAAACTAGTGGAGAGAGGGAGAGGCTGGGGAAATGGACGGAGGCCAATGAGAGGGCAAAAGGCTTCCCTTTCGGAGAGTGCAGATGGAGGGATGACCAGAGGAATGGAGGGGAGAAAGGAAAAGCAGAAGCACAGAGATCCTGCAGTCAAGGTGGGTCCCTGCAGTGACTCCTTGCCTGGAATACCTTCCCCTCTCTCTTTTCTTCCCCTCCTTCCCCCACACGTACTGGCCCCCATTGGCTTACATTCTGGTTCCTTCATTCCAAAAAGGATGGGGCTGCCTTCTGCATGGACTCACCAAAAAGTCTAAACGGTCTCACCACCGCCTGAAGCTCCTGCACCACTGAGCTGAGGGTGACTAGGGTCACAAGCAGGAGGAAGCCTCCCAACTTCATGTTGCTGTCGGAGGTCTTCGGATTAAAACCCAACAAGGCTGAGGCTGAGAAGAGCAGCAATTTATCCTCTTCCACCCTCTGAGCTGGAATGAAGGGCCAGGGGTGGGACTAGGAGTTGCAGGAGTCTAAGCCCCGCCCAGAAGCTGACATTTCCTGAGAAATGTGACACACACACCGTGTGTACCTTGGGTAATGCCACATTGTCTACCTAAGTCTCTGAGCCAAGGGAACACCCTCCTCTGACCGACATGTAAGACTCCTAAACCAGGAAAGCAGTGAGTGGCTAAGAAAGGGGGTGAACTGGAGTAGGGGCACTTTCATTCACTCCTTCCTTTTTGAACACAAGTATCAGATGTCTTCTCTGGGCCAGGCACGTGCTGGGCATGAGGAATAGGTCCTGACGGTGATTAATTACAACGTAGGAGCGGGGTGCTAGCTGGGGAAGCTACAGCCTGCTCTTTCCCTTCACCCGCCTTGCTCTGGGCCCTGGAGTCTCTGGTATTGAGGGCAGGGAGGAGCGGTAAGACAGCCAGTGGGGTGCTCCTCGGTCACCTGTTGATGGTAAGGAGGTGATGCTAGTCTTCTTTGGGCGGGGTCTGCTTCTCTCTTCTGCTGAGGTCCCAAGTAAAGGTGGTATGGTATGGTAGCCTTTGCCTGTATGATCAGTGTCATTTGCCTGGCAAGGTGTTCCACCTCATCTTGTCGACCTTCATTTCTGAGAACCCAGATTCCCGATACACGTGTTAAACTCTTCCAGAATGTCTGTCATCACGAAGCACTGGGGTGAGGAGGGGCTGCAGTGACCAACCAGCTAGGGAGTGAATTTCATTCATCCTCTAGATGAGGAGTGATTCTCTGAAACACACACTTCCCTGGGTTTTGGAGGAATGGGTCCTCTTCCCTCCCCAGTGGCAGTGGGAGTGGGGGGAGGCATGTATGAATTTTGGTCATCAATCCTGTGTCCCGTATGATCGCTATCATAATGTGAGATGAGGTTGACTGGACTGGTTGTTCATGGCAGGATCAGTTTATAGTCTCTTAGTATGGCCTCTGGAGAAGGAAATGGCAACCCACCCCCCCCCAGTATTCTCGCCTGGAAAATCCCGTGGATGGAGAAGCCTGGTAGGCTACAGTCCATGGGGTCGCGAAGGGTCGGACACGACTGAGCAACTTAACTTTCACTTTTCACTTTCATGCATTGGAGATGGAAATGGCAACCCACTCCAGTGTTCTTGCCTGGAGAATCACCATCCCATAGATGGTGGGCTGCTTAATGCCACATTGTCTACCTAAGTCTCTGAGCCAAGGGAACACCCTCCTCTGACCGACATGTAAGACTCCTAAACCAGGAAAGCAGTGAGTGGCTAAGAAAGGGGGTGAACTGGAGTAGGGGCACTTTCATTCACTCCTTCCTTTTTGAACACAAGTATCAGATGTCTTCTCTGGGCCAGGCACGTGCTGGGCATGAGGAATAGGTCCTGACGGTGATTAATTACAACGTAGGAGCGGGGTGCTAGCTGGGGAAGCTACAGCCTGCTCTTTCCCTTCACCCGCCTTGCTCTGGGCCCTGGAGTCTCTGGTATTGAGGGCAGGGAGGAGCGGTAAGACAGCCAGTGGGGTGCTCCTCGGTCACCTGTTGATGGTAAGGAGGTGATGCTAGTCTTCTTTGGGCGGGGTCTGCTTCTCTCTTCTGCTGAGGTCCCAAGTAAAGGTGGTATGGTATGGTAGCCTTTGCCTGTATGATCAGTGTCATTTGCCTGGCAAGGTGTTCCACCTCATCTTGTCGACCTTCATTTCTGAGAACCCAGATTCCCGATACACGTGTTAAACTCTTCCAGAATGTCTGTCATCACGAAGCACTGGGGTGAGGAGGGGCTGCAGTGACCAACCAGCTAGGGAGTGAATTTCATTCATCCTCTAGATGAGGAGTGATTCTCTGAAACACACACTTCCCTGGGTTTTGGAGGAATGGGTCCTCTTCCCTCCCCAGTGGCAGTGGGAGTGGGGGGAGGCATGTATGAATTTTGGTCATCAATCCTGTGTCCCGTATGATCGCTATCATAATGTGAGATGAGGTTGACTGGACTGGTTGTTCATGGCAGGACCAGTTTATAGTCTCTTAGTATGGCCTCTGGAGAAGGAAATGGCAACCCACCCCCCCCCAGTATTCTCGCCTGGAAAATCCCGTGGATGGAGAAGCCTGGTAGGCTACAGTCCATGGGGTCGCGAAGGGTCGGACACGACTGAGCAACTTAACTTTCACTTTTCACTTTCATGCATTGGAGATGGAAATGGCAACCCACTCCAGTGTTCTTGCCTGGAGAATCACCATCCCATAGATGGTGGGCTGCCATCTATGGGGTCGCACAGAGTCGGACAAGACTGCAGCAACTTAGCCGAAGCAGCAGTATGGCCTCAGGGAGAAGGCTGACTTCCCTTTAGAGAGTGCAGTACTCGATGTTTCACCAGGGGCCCTGGTTCCTAATTCTGGGGCTATAGGAAGAGATCTGCCCTGTTATACTCCATTTGTCACAGTTCTTGAAATACACCTGTCAGAGGTCCTTTGGGCAAACCATTGACCTCATTCATTGCAAATACCCCTAGGTGGGTTAAGGGCTACATTTATGGGTTATTCATCAAGCAATTTGGCAAATTACCTGAACTTAATCCTACCTATCCCAAAGGTAAGTTTTGTTGCTATCTAATTTCTGTAATAATTCAGAGCCAAAAACTTTCAGAGATGCTAAACAGTGAAAAGAATATCACTCTATATGCAATTTCACATTTTTAAAAAGGCTAAAAAATTTTAAAAACTGCCCTAAACTCAAAAGTATGTTGAAATTAAATTCATTTCTTTTTAGATGTTCTCTTTTCTGATTTTGTTTTGGGTTCTTTGTTTTGCTGGTGCCGAAAGTACATGCTTAGCTTGCCTTCTAGATTCCTTAGAGCCAAGCAGGGCCTTTGGAGCTTGGCAATGAGGCCTTAGTCTTCCCTGGATTTGCCTTGGTGTTCAACTATTTGGTGCTGTGAGATAAATAGACATTTAAGCCTTATAGGTTTATAAAGTAAAAAATTTTTTTGCTTTGTCACAAAAAAAATGTCAGCAAAACCTATGTCTGAATAGAAGCCCACCGCAGATGTGAGCAAAGGGCATAACAACTTCTACATGCCATTTAGTGAGCACTGGTTTTATTCCTGGCTTGGCTCCTTAAAGATCTCCTTGTGTTTAATTCTGTGAGGTGGTTTGTTGGTTAGGAGTCTGATTGCTAAAAGAGGAAATTAAGAATGAAAATGCAAAGGAGCCATCTCTGCTTCATTTTCACATCTATTTCATCACTTTTTTCTCTGCTGAACATTGTTCTCAGCTTGCAAACCATATGGTAGGGGAATATGACTGCCTCTGAGCCCTCGAGTTCAAGATGAGTCCAGAAAGTGCTAGATTTTTCCCAATCCTAAATCTAAAATGCCAGGGGAGAGAATTTCCTTGGCCTGGTTTGAATCAGGTGTCACACCCATCCCCTCAAACTAACAATACAAGCAAAGCTGCTGAGGGCTCTGTGTGTGTTTGTGTGTGTGTGAGTGAGTGTGTGTGTGTGTTGGAGAGGGATTCAGGAAGCGGACAACACACGGTATAGTTTCTAATAAGTGGCCTGTGCCTTTTGCTTGGCCTGGTTTGAATCAGGTGTCACACCCATCCCCTCAAACTAACAATACAAGCAAAGCTGCTGAGGGCTCTGTGTGTGTGTGTGTGTGTGTGAGTGAGTGTGTGTGTGTGTTGGAGAGGGATTCAGGAAGCGGACAACACACGGTATAGTTTCCAATACAGACAGGATTATTGCCATTTTACAGATGAGCAAACTGCAGAGGTTTAGTAACATCCCCCAAACAGCATTTCAATGCAGAACCAAGCTTAAGCTCCAAAGATAGTGCTCTTCTCTAGAACTCATTACCATCAGGTTAAGTCCAAATTCTTAGAAAATTTCCTCCATGTGGCACAGATAAATGAGCTTTTGAGGACACAGAATTCCACTTCGCCTAGTAGGCACTAATTGTCAGGCTTTCATTAGCGGAGCACAACAGCTCTGAGCTAGAGAAGATTCTGAGCACACAATCAGATCAAAGGGAGGGTTCATCCACTGAAAACTGTAACTTTGATTTTAGGAGAGTTAAGGAACAACAGATGGCCCTTATTCCTGGCTGTTCACTAGGTCATTCAGAGGTTGTGAAAATAAGACCAAGGCTTATATAGCGCTGTAGGTAAGAATGAGGACTCTAGAGTATGACAGATCCAATTTATATGTGGCTCCACTACTTGCTAGCTGTGTGACCTTGGGAAAATTGCCTTCCTTTTCTGGGTTTTGCTTCCTCATCTCATAAACAGGCATAGGCAACAATTCGTCATAGGGTTGTTGGACAGCCTGATGTATATGGATTTATATGTATTCAATCTTCAGAACTGGCAGCTACTATTATTAATTTCTGTAAAAGAGAATGTATGCCTTTCTATTTCCTATATTAGGGCACCTGCAGACAACCCAAGCCAAAGTGTATCAGTTCATTAAGGAAATACCACTAAAGAAAGAGGAATCAGAATCTTTCCATATTTTATTATGCTGGAAATTATAGATTGAATCACGAAGAGACTCCAGAGCTTAAGCTGGTATTACTGTCAGCACAGTGACTATCTGTGAGTTCATGATTCTGGTATGGAGGTCAGGAAGCTTAGCAGGTGACCAATTTCTGTCTAAACAGTCATTAGCTAGAGGAGGGTCAGTTAAGTCACAGACAATCATCATTTTTCCAAAAGATGCTCAAGAGCCTGGCCAGTGTCTGGAAGGATTTGTCCCCACCCAAAGAGTTCCCGCTCCCAGTAAGAGTTTTCGTAATATTACGATCAGCAACAATAGCGGCTTCTTATCAGCAGTGACTGTTCCACATACCAGATCTGTTTTTCCCTGTGTTCTGTAATTATTGCCTGCCCTACACTGTTGAAGTGAGAATTCAATTGAATGATGATATTTGGAGCAGTGCCTGGAAGATAGCAAACACCCATTAAATGTTGCTG